TTGAACGTTATTGGTAGCCACTTTTGTTCTATATGCCTGATCCACTTTTTGATTGCACATTGTTTTTCTCATCCAATAATTGAGCTTGTGTCATCATTTCCATTAGTGCGTCGATTATGTGTAATTTCACTTTTGCCTTGATGTCCTCCTTTAAGCCTGTCAGCCACATTCCTTTGAGAATATTGTCATTAGCTTTCCTAATTGAACCTGAAAGTCGTTCAAACTCATCCCTATATTCAGTGACGGAACATGTTTAGTGCAAACTCAGTAGAATCTCATACTGATTTGCAGCAATCGTGGGTTGGAAGCGGTGTAGTAAATCTCATCGAAATTGATCCCAAGTTGGTTGCACTGCTCATCCTTCCCACATTGGTACCAATTAAGGCAACTACTTTTTTTTCCTTAAATGCAAAAGGCTCCACCTTTTAATCATTGAGCAAACAAATACATGCCATTATTAATCATAACCATATAATGCAGCCTAGAAGTTGACCATATTAAAGCATCATGTTAGAGGCTTAACTGCGAAGTAAGTAATGAAACCAAAAGATTCAGATTAGAAGAGTTTTTTAAAAAAAAATCATTTGAATATACTTTATGTTTTTAATAAAATATAAGGATAATATTTAAAAGATAAATAAGTTAATATTGCAATCACGTAAAATATAATAACATAAATACAAAATAAAAGTTTCTAAAAAAGTAAAGAAAATAAATGGTAAAAAAAAATTTAACAAGGATCAAGTCATCCAAATTAATACGCAAAAAACTTTCAAAGTCACCAACAATCATTGGTTCAAGAAATAAGAAGTTTGTTCCCTTTAATTATAGGTCTCCCGTTTAAGTTCTAGAAATCAAAAAAATAATTTTGAAAGAGTCATACGTCATTGATATATATATATATATATATATATATATATATATATATATATATGTTTCTGCAGTTATTGCGGATAAGTTATTTGTATTTATTCATAAAACGACGTCGTTTTGATGTTGAAATATTAAAAAAATTATAATTATAAAGACTATTATAATCTTGAAATAAATTAAAATTACAAAAATACCTTAATTTTCGTCTCAAAATAACGTCATTTTGAACTTAATGCAGATAACTTATCTATGTTTACTGCAGAAAAAACAAACTCATATATATATATATATATATATATATATATATATATATATGAATGTTTGTTAAAAACATAGCATAATATCATTAATTGCCATGGTGTGTTTTTTAATATAAGTGTTAGTTTGCATTGTTTACCTCTCAACATTTTCTACTAACTGAAAGTTGATGCCCCATAACACGTGGTCAAAACCTCAATTAATTAGATATGATTTCAAGTTAAGTATCAATGGAAATATTGGAAAGGTGCGCGCAAATCTTTTTTATAGCGAGGCTTAACTATAGTCTGTAGGCTTAACTTTTAGTGGCGGTTACATCAACCATGATTCCCTAGCGCAAGTTAAGACATAACGAATATACTAGAGGACATATGCCACACAATTTTTCTTTTATTTAGTTATTTCTAATTCACTTGCTTAATTAAATAAATATTTTTTATTGATAAAATTTTATAAATATTAATCATATTATGTATCAGATTTTATAAAGGAATTTATCTTTATATATTAAATTAAAGTACAATCTATTAAAAATAACTTAAGCCCATGATATTACATAAACTAAATGATTGCGAGGGGGATTGTGCACGTTTTTTTTGTATAAACAGTATACAATTGGAGTGCGGTTGAAGAATCCATTGAGGGAGGTTAACAATGATTTGGGTCACAACTGTGATAAATGAGTTTAGTTCTGTGAGGTTGGAGGGCAAAGCTAAGATACTCTTGCTTTCCACCATGGCTTAGGTGTGTGCCCCTGGCGCGTGAATTAGCTACACTATCTGACAAACGTCGAAAATTGTCGGTGGCTCTAATTATAAAACACTCACATTAAAATTTATTTTAAAATTTTTAGTAGTTGATATTTATTAGTAGTAACTTCGTGGTTGTAAGTGGGTTGGCAATATATCTACGTTATTAAATTCCAACAGATCAATGACTCAATCTGGGTATTGAATTAAGGGAAAATTTCAAAATATTTCGGATAACTTTTCTCGTAATTATTTATTTTTTTTCCAAAATTTTAAATTATTTATCTTCCTAACTTAAAGTTTTTTTATTATTTACCCCCTAAGTGAAGGGATAAGTGATAAAAAAAACTTTACATAAGGGAATAAGTGATAAAAAAAATTAAATAAAAGTGTAAATGATTCAAAAAATTTATAAGTGATAATTAAAAAAATTCATAAGGGAATTTTTTAGTTTTCCTTTGAACTAATGGTTCACTTATTCAACCTATGAATTAGTGATTAAATTTAAATTAAATTTATATAAAAATATGTAATAAATATAAATAGTTTGACAATCAAAGTAATGTAATTTAGGAATATTTATTAACCGATCCAAATCGATTTAAACTGCAATGATCAAATCGAAAAGCAGATAATTGAATTAACCAAAAATTAAAAATTAGCGTATTTTAATTATATTGGATTGGATCGATTTTTGGTTTGATTGGTAAAAACTGATCCTATACAAACCGATCGAATATATTATGTTTTATTATTTTTGAAAAATAGTGACTTTGAATCTTGTTATTTTATAGACTTGAAATCTTGTAGGTTATTGATAGCAAACTATTTTATTTTAGTTTTTATTGTCTATTAATCTATTTTAACTCTTCTTGAATTTTAAGACTTGTTTTAGTGATTTATAACTTTGAAAGACTTTATTTCGATATAGCTAGTGAATTGTATGGTTAAAATTTTAAACTTTTCAAAAAATCGAAATCAATCCAATACACACAGCGAACACCCTAATTTACTCTCCTTTTCAGTTCCGGATTCAATCGGTTGAACTGGGCTGGTCGGACAGATTTTTTTAAACTATATAGACTTGACCTTGCTATAATGCGTGTTTAAATTTGATTCATTATTATTGTAAAGTTTTTATACTATCATATAATAATATGTTAAAATATCATGAATGGAATGGTCAAATTCATTTAATCATTTAGCAATAAATGATTGAAAGAGCAAAAAATTATGTTAACAACACATCAAAATTAAATCCATATAATATATTGTCAAAAATTGGTGTGCCAGTATTTGTTTTTCTTCGTAAGGTTACATATTGGAGGCCTCAAATTCGTCTTGATGTGGATACATAATGACTTTAGGAAGAAAAATGACTTTATAAAATGTAGCATATCTCCACGAGAATAATATGGTCTGGCTTTCGTTTAGAAAATATGATTAGAAGACCACTATGCGGAACAATTTTGCATAAATCGGTACCGACTTCTCAAGATTTAGTGTCTTTATTACCAACCACTTTTGGCTTAGTGACTGTATCAACAGCCACCTATGATTTCTTTTGGATTATAGAATGTATATTAAGTTTCAGATCGATCCTTTTTATTGACCCAAATAATTGATGGAAGAATTCTTTGGGTCCCCAGAGGATTGACGGTGCAGACTCCTTGATTTCATTGCAGATAGTTTTTTGTTTTTTCCCAGTACACGGGTCTTGAGCAGATAACTCAACAACATAAGGGTTTTTTTATTGTGCAGATTGCTGCTGATCTTGGAGGAGCCCCCTACCAGGAGCCTCTAATAAGTTTAAGAACGTCAATATTCCAATTTATATGATACGCCTCACGTTCTTCAACCTTACTCATGACAAGAAACTAGTTGCAAACAAGAGCAATGAAATCTACTATTACGTTATTTTGTTTATCAGACATCGCATGAATGGATGTGCCGGGTACATCTCATAATTCAGATTTATACTTTCAGATTTATATTCATAAATCTAATGTGTAAGTTTGAGACATTGGTTAAAATCGCGCATTTCTTCCACACAAAATAATAAAAATCATGCATTACGATCACACGGCAAAACTTAGGTAGTATACATCCACAGAGGAAAGTATTGGCACGGGTGCCACCACCCCCTTCACCTCGCTACTAGTTCCTAGATATGACTTCTTTAAAAGTCCGAAATTTAAAAAAAATGAGTCATTTCAACCGTTAATGAAATGGGCTTGCAATTTCTCATGTTCATGAGAAATTCAAATTTTCTTACAGAGAAAGAAAAGGGTGGGATCCACCTTTAAGAAAAAAATAAAAAATAAAAAAATGAATGACACAGACATCGAAGTGAGAGTGATAGAAGAAAAGACTTCTCGTGCAATACGAGAAGAGAAGTCTTTTTCCCTAATGAAATAATCAAGAAAGCAAATTTTAATAAATCCACAATTTCTTATGAATGTGCATTTAATATCAACCATAAATTTCCCCCGCAATGAATGCTTAATCTCTTAAGTAAGCATTGACCGTCCACCAAGAGCTACTGTATTTGCCAAGACCTCGTCCAACAAAGCAGCCCTTGTTCGTAAAAAACTCTTTCGCAAGAAATCCTTAACAAGCTGCAAAAAGCAACATCTCATCTCCCCAAATTGCGTTAAAGAACCACAATTGTTCAATTAAGATATATTCTATATTCCTAGAAAACAAAATACAAGATCATAAACAGGAATCTATCAAAATAATCGAATAAAACAGGAAGCATAACTCGCAGTAGTGGACCAGTGACAACAACTTGCAAAAACACAGGAAGGGTGGCTTGCTGCAGTAATGACTACTAGTTGGGTAGGGTGCACACTAATAGTTCGCATAACAACCAAATACAATTTTCAGGAAATGACTTTATGCTCCAATTAATGGAAAGTTTAAAAACAGTGCTGAAAACTTGCAGATCATAGGAAGGGCGGCATGCTGCAGCGGGGTAGTAACGAGTCTAACAACTACTAGTAGTGTAGAGTGCACATTCTTTATGGTGTTCGCATAACAATCAAACAGAATTTTCAGTAAATGATTTTATGCCCTAATCAATGGATAAGCTTAAAAAAAGTGATTCATCTCGAGAAGTAGAAGAAACACGGTACTTTATGAAAGATTATCTGAGGAATATCTATAAATAAGTTTACAAGTTTAATATACAATCATATATAGGTTTCCTAAGTTTCAAACAAGAGAGACCACAGCTGCCTTTTTAAGTTCTTTATTTCCAATATCACAATATTTGGTCATCTTCTGCAGGTCAATGGATTATCACTTGCCTGGCCTGCGCCAACCAATAGGCAATGCACCACATCCACGGAATTTCATATCCCCCAATGGGCAATTCTATTTCTACCTGATACCAGAAGAAACATCTATCAGAAAACCATTCTAAACAACTCTCAATCTGGTAAACAAATAGAACACATGCAAGCAATGTAATGGTAAAATTGGAACCAATAAGACAGAGACAGAGAGAGAGAGAGAGTTTCCAAATCCACAAAATGGATTAGCAAAATATCTGCCATGCTTTCTCAAACAACAACAAAAATTTCAACAGCAAAATCTTATGGGGAATATACTGCACATACATATTCGTAGATTCATGCACACAATGACTAAAAATAGAGAAAGCCAACAAAGAAAAACAAACTATCTACGAAGAAAATGTGGAACAGTTATTGTATTACAAAAGGAAATTGTTCTGATGAGTTGGTAATCAGGACATGTCGAATCTCCACATTAAATAACTCACAGAATTCAGCAAAATTAAGATTTTACCTTTTAGACAAAATAAATCTCAGAGTTCATGCAATTCCTTCTATATGCTTAATTTGAGCTAGAACCTGCAGTACAGGATGTTTTGGTGTTATTGTCTCTTAAAAGACTGTTCCCTTCAGTGTCCGTTAAATGCTGATCATTTGATCCCTGAACTGAATCATCCTCTGCATTACTTGAAGCAGAATTGCTATTGTTTCTATCACTGTCCTTGGTCTCCAGGCGTTCCATCATTCGAGACACAGTTGCAATCCCTGCATTAACTTCTCGCCTAACTTCAGAACCAAGATCAGACATAGAAGTGTTACGAGAGAACCATCTCTCCTTCCACCCTTTTGTGCTCTTGGAAATTGACTCTTTGTATCTGAAAGATGGGGGAAAACATTTCACGTCACAATGGAAAAACTCTTCAATTGTATGACAGCCACATGCTATATAGAATATTCAGTTTATCCACTACCTAGTTGACACAGCATTTAGTTTAGATTTCAGAGAATCTGAAAATGACTGGAATTCTGATGGCCCTGCTCTGTCTTGACTACTCGGAGAAGACTGATTGGGAGATCTCCTGTTTGAAGTTTTAAGATCTAACAGTTAAGAACATCTGAAGCCAGACAACTATGCAATTATGAACTTAAAAAACATTTGAAAATGATCCAAAAATTCACAACGAAAAATGAAGATTACCTATTGTTGTAAGATGATCCCTGATGATCAGTAGCTAGGGCAATAGACCCAGATCCAGAAGCAGACACCTGGTCAGCTTGAATGGGAGGAACTAAAGTCAGCTGTGGTGATTCTTCTCCAGTTGCAGGCGTTGAAGATACAGTGGCAACAGCAATTGCAGGAGTTGGTTCACCATCCCCCCTCTGAGTTGGAGAGGAAGAAGCAGGAGCCATCGGAGGTGAATTAGGATGAGTCGAAAATACCAGAAAATGTGGGCGACCTTGAGCTGATGACCTGTTCCTCTGGCCTTCCCTTCTAGCAATGTGACGTGCTCGCCCCATTGCTGCAGCTGCAGCTAAGTGTTGGATTATACGCTCTTCAAGATCGGCATCATTTGCTCCAACTGGCAACTGCATGAGAACACAAAAATCACATAATGCATGATAACAGTACAAATATGCTTCCCAACTAGCATAAGTAGACTACAAACATGTTGTAACTCAAAATCCCCCAGAGTTGGGTGATGAAATATTGTGGCATTTCTTGATGGGTTGAACCTAAAGTTCCTCTCTCTTTCCACTGCCTCAAGCAATTCCTGGCTGCAAAAACAAACCAAAAGTGCATAAATAATGTCAGGAGCTGAAGAACAAAATAAACAAGTATAAAGATCATTGAGAAAACTACAAACCTCGTTGGATCTTTGAGACTGATAGATTGCCAACACATGGGGCACTGGGAGCTTCTCTGACACCTACAAGATAAAAAATAGAATTCAGGACAAACTCAAACCCTCCAAACATTGCCAAATGCTTCAAACAAACATGGGTCCAAAATTCTATTCAAATGTTAAACTGCAGAACAAGGAAGAAATATGAAAATATGTATATTCCCAACAGGGGCATTTTAGCAATGAAATATCCATATCTACAGACTTAAAAAATCAGATATCAATACTCAATAGTAAAAAGTATGCCTAACTTTAACTCATCAGACACAGACTGGAACACTGTCCAAAACATTTCTTTTATTTTGACTTGGACAGCAATGAATTCAACGAAACCCAAGTGCCAGAGCAAGTTTACACGGAAAAGGAACCACATGTGCAACAATTGTGTAAGGTTTGAAATTTTGATTCTGGAATGATACTAAGAAGTTCCTGTTATTCCCGGGACATTGTTGAAATCAGTTACCCAAATGTTAGGAAAACATATTCATTACGCTCTAAACAACACAATGTAAACTTATATTATGAAAGTTTACGCCCTACTGGTCCATGGTAGGGATGACAAAAATGAGACAACACATCGGGTTGGCTCGTAACCCGCAAAAAATGAACCAAGTTGGGTTGGCAAGAATGAGCTGACAATCCGAGCCAGCTCCCGCGGGTTGAGGGTTTACATTTTTAATTAAAAAAAAAATACAAAAAACTAATATCAAAACTCAAGCCGTCACTTTCTTTCGTTTCTCACCACTGCAAACCATTGCAAGGGATAATAACAAAGGTTTAGAGAACAAGAACAAAAAAAAGAACAAAAAATGGTGGTTAATATGACGAGGAGGTGGCGGCGGCCCAGGAAATACGAGGTGAGGCTGGTTGTAAAGAGCCTCCAGGATGCGATCTGCTGCGGGACTCTATACAGAAAGGTTCCAAATTGACAGTTGAGGGTCCCAAGTTGACTCTTGGCTCTTTGCGACGGACTTCAGTCGCCAGAAACTTCACCAAGGAAGCAGACATCGAGGTTGACGGTGACGGCGTCGTCGTTCACTAGGACAAGGAGTTTCAGTGCGTCTGCAATCTCAACGCCTAGAAGCACAATGTATTCCACACATTTTCTTGAAATTGTTTTTTGGAATTTCCCCTCTGGTAGGAACTTTTGTGCAGTAGTTGACTCTTTTGTCATTGTGATTTTTGTAAAAAAAAAAATTCATGGGTTAATTGGCTTATTTGAAATATTTTGTTTCAGTTTGACGGGTTGATTGGTAACGGCATTGTGTGGATTCATTCTTATTTGTCTAAAAATAATTTGGATTCATTCTCTATTGCAAGGATTGAATCAAAGGTCAAAGAGCAAGGTTCCTGTTCTTGGAATGGCGTTATTGAATATTGCAGAATTTGCATCTTCAATTAGGGTTTAGGGTGCGTTGCATCTTCAAGCAAAGGTTATCCTTTACCGGAATCTCCAAGGATAAGCACGTGCATTGCGATTTCGCTATAAAACTCTGCTTCTCTCTGTCGTTTTTCTCCGAAGATGGTCTTGTTCAATAATTTAGTCTGGGTCTGGTAGTCGCGGTTCAAATTCAGATTTAATTTAGTTTTTCGAGCTAACCCTAACACGGATCAGGTTGGGTTTTCTGGCTCGTTTTTTTTTTCGAGCCAACCCTAACCTGGCTCTTTTTTTTCGGGTTACACATGTGTTGAGCCGAGTAAGTCGGGTTGGCCTGTTTTGCCAACCCTAGTTTATGGTTTATAAAGTTTGTTGGGCACGACACTTGATATTTTGAGAAACTTGAATAACGAGATGAAAACAGGTTACAGAGCCTTAGACAATGATGATATAATGACTTCACGGACAACTACTGTTTGGTTGGGGCTATTGACATAAGCCCTAAGAACTATTGGCAATGGCCTACTCGAGCACCGGGTCTTTCACACCTTTATATCCGTGTTTTTGATTTACTAAAAGCAAGACCAGTGAAAATAGGACCACGAATGACTCCTTCTAACTTCCAAGAACATCATTCTCATGTCTAAATTTTTTATATTTCCTCTTTCAGCCGGTAGTAGTAATAGCTTATTTGGGCTTTAGCCTATCTTTAGGTACCACTCATACAAGGCCTGTTTTCCTTCGAAATCAGGACAGAAACATATTTATAAATAATCTATCAAGGACCCCATCTTTCTTTGCCACTGAAGCAGATCGGAAAATAGAAAACCATATGAGATTATTACTTGAGGAGACCACAATGGTCTCCAAGAAAAACCGCAGAAGCTATAAGAGTTGCAGTGTGATGCAATGATGAGTAAGCAAAACATCCATCGTGCACCATCAAAATTAATCCCAAGATTGACTCAAAAGATTCAATAGATGAAGCCAAATGGAAATACCATTCCAGAATGCATTGAAGATGAAACTCGTGCTTGCAACTTGTCACCTGCAGGAAGAGTATGAGCAGCTTGTTCAAAAGAGTGGACACACAATCATCACATACCATAACAGCCAGCTAAATTAACACCTAAAGAGTCATACCGTGGAAGGATCACTATCACAGAAGGCTTCAAGGCATATGCTGCAAGCATCGTCACAAGCATCCTGTATTCCACCCTCCACAAAAGCAGCAGCAGAAGTCAAATGCGCCTCAGACTTGGAATTATTCTCAGGAATATTCTCTTCCATTCCAGGTCCCTAGAAAAACAACACCACTTCCACATCAACACAAACAACAACATTCCAAAAAAATCTCAACCGAATAACAACGAATCAAGACACTCCGCCTCACAAAAAGGATCCACCGGAGCAGAACACAACAAAATATAATCCCAAAAATAAATAAATCAAAAATCAAAAAATCCCTCACAGGGAATCGGATCAAATTAAGAACCTCGGCAGATATAAAACCCTTAAATGAAAACAGATAAGCATGAAAAAATAAAAAGAAAACAAAATTCTCGGGAACCAAACAGGCTAAGAATAAAGTAAACCGCAGTTATTGAAAACGGTGTTACCTCCATAAAGAATCGCGTAAGATTGCGCGATGAAGTAGCGTAATAGATATGTAATTGAAGAAAACCCTAGCGGGCGCTAACGAATCAGAGAGAGAGATTTTTCTCTACGGTGCGGTGCGGTGCTGTGTGGTATGGACTGAAGTGTGCGTGGTATGTTACCCTTTTCTTTTTGTTTTACTTTTCGTAAGAAACCAACCACCGAGTCAGCTAAACTTACCTTAACTCGGTCTTGGTCTTCTGCTCACTGTGCTTCCAACACGTGGCATTCTCACGATTCTCTTTGACAAGTCTTTCACCTTACACGTCATTCTCTTCTTAGATTGGGTTGGGTTGTGTTGAGTTGGGTCATCAACTCATAAAACTTATAACCTGTCATCCTGTCCTCTTATACGGCATGGTTCATCTAGCTGTATTTATATTTAAATTTTTTTATCAACTTTTTTTTTTTTTTTATGGGAGAGGATATGCTTACCACCAAAAAAATTTATAACTCTTACAACTAATTTAATCATCGTTGATTTTCGTCAATTTAACAGTTCTAATTTATTGGGAATTAATAAATGTGACACAATAAATATTATTAATTTATAACCGTTAGTTTGACAGAAATCAATGATGATTAAATTAGTTATAAGAGTTGTAAATTTTTTTGGTGGTAAGTGGATCCGTTATTTTTTGACACCTATGTTCATATATTATATTTTTAAATGAGTATAGTATATTACAATCCCTCAACCATTCTTTAAGTTATTTGCAATAACTATCAAATGGTAAGGGTCAACCACTCATCCATGAACCAATTTATGTTTTGATAGCCAAACTAGAAATATAAAATCATGGATGTGTCTCCATGTGATGTGAATGTGCAAATCTTAGGCAAACATCCTAAGCCCCTTTTCATCTAATTAGATGAACTATGCTGTAATAAGCGTATAACTTTTCCCAAAATTGAATGGGTACCTGACCATTGACCAGTGTTAATAGTTCCAAACATGTTACTATTAGCTACCAAAGACCTAGACCCTTTGTTTAAAATTTATGTTCCTGCTAGAAAACTGCCAAAAGCCCAAAAAGATTAGCCCATTCCCGAACATTCGTAAACGATATGGCATGAAATTATAACCCTTGCAAAAAATATTGAAGAGATAGGGTATTGGGATTTGGAATTATACACCAAATTTTCAGCCATTACAGTTGTCAACTTAGTAATCAGTGTAGTAATCAACGAGCAAAACAAGTTCGCAACTTGACATACAAGCCGCAGCCGGCACCAAAATTGACTTAAACTTTGAAATGCTGGAATATAAAAATTTTAATGAATTAAATAAATATTAGTAATTCAATAAATTTTGTTTTTCAAATGAAGTTTAGGATTTAGGGTTTACCTCATCAAATTTATGCATTGGGGATATGCTAATGGAGCTTGTCATTTTAGACTAAATTTATGGGTTGGAGATATTTGATCAATTTAATATCAATTGGGCTGGATCTCGCACTATTGATGAAGCTATAAGTTAATGATGTCTTGTTAGATGACTGGATTATGGTGAGATAACTTTTCTATTTTTGTGATATGATTAAGCTTGTATGTAGGTGTTTGGGTTGTAGGAGGAGATCGGAAGGAATACCTGCAAAGCACCCCGAAACTAAGTTAATTTAGTATTCAAATAGTTCAGGTATTCAAGGATAGATCATCTTACCTGGGCTAAATCCTCGTGATTTTTAGTTGGAGGGTGTCTTGCTCTTGTCGCCTCTATAGCAAGGCTATATTGTTAGAATATATATATATATATATATGAGTAAAGCTTCTTTCGAGTCCCTAACAAAAAATACGGTCTCTACTTTCGTCCCTTATAAAAAAAATACTCATATTAGTCATTTTTAGGTACTAAATTGGGTCTTCATTGAATTTACGAGGGACCACATTTTCAAAGAACTGGAATTGTAGATGGACCAAAAGTTAATTTTTTTTGGTAAGAGGTGAAAGTGGAGACCGTGTTTTTTGTTAAGATCCAAAAGGGGCTTTATTCTTTATATATCATATGGGTTATGAATAAGAAGTGGGTTAAGGAAGAAAAGAAAAGAGGGAAGTTAAAGGGGTGTGTGAATTTTTAAAAAGTTCCACATTGGACAACTAATAAAAGGTGAAAGGGTATATAAGCTCACACCCCACACTCCTAAATTGCCCAATGGGGCACTACACTTTTGTGGAGGGGAGAGGAGCTAGATGGTCTTTGGTCCACCACACATGTGACGCCGCAGGCCAGCCAACTCAGTTCGTGTGTGTGAAATAAAAATACCCCTGTCCATATTCGTCCAGATTCTTCAACCCAAATGTTTCTTCCCGCTGATTTTTTGAACGTTCATTCAATATTGAACCAGTGTCTATATATAGACCTTGACCCTTTCAGAAATTCCATCCGATTTTTGCAGTCTTTTTTCCTTGTTTCTGTGTAATTCCTTTGGCATTATGTTGTGTTCGTTCGGGTTGTTGACTGGTAGTGTCATCATTCTTCAGATGCAATCCGTTTTATCCTGGGAGACAAGTGTCCATCAACTTTTGACATCAGTGAGGGGACAAATTGTCTTAAGGAGACACTTTCTATGGGCATGGATTTCATCAACTATTCTGCATACATTGTTCATTCTGTTCTATACACTGACATACCGTAAGTATGTTATTTATTCTTACTATAGCACTTTGTTCATGATTGATAATCTCATCTACTTTATACACGGCTTTAAACCTCTTAGTGATTTTTAATATCACCCACTGTCTTCTATACAACAAATATTGTGGGCGAGATGCCTATAGCAAGGCTAGGCCTTTATAGATATCGCAACAAGTTCATGAAGTGATGATGTCATTTAGTCATTGGTTCATGTGGTGGTCAATTTGTTCTGAGCACCTGATCTCGCCAGGTCCCACTTGCCTGAGTTGCTGGTAACGTATGCCAGTACGAAATGTTTAGATTCACGCAGGATGGATGCATTCTCTTCATGGTTAAGCAATGGTCCAAAGGTTGATTGGGCCTCTTTTGAATTGGGTCTTCATCTCGCATAAGTCAGGTTTAGATCAAATCCGACTTGTTTTGATAATTCTATCAACAAGTTATATAATAAATATTTGCCCCGATGATATGTTGATTTTCTTTCACGATATGCAAATTGATTGATATCTTTTTAATGTGATAGGATTTAATGTGATAGGATATTACACCTACTTTTTTCATGCCTAATTGCCTACTATATCTACTCATTTTTTAACCCTAGATCCAATGGTGTTGGAGATAAGTATATAAGGTAGATAGAATAATCTATTCTTTTTAATAAATAATAAGTTCGTTATTTATATATTTTATTTTTTTTATCTTATAATTTTATTTTAATTCTTTTAAAGATTTACAGCTACCTAATCATATGCTTTTATCTATAATCAGTTCTTTGCATTTTATTAAAAAAATAATATAGACTTTTCCCTTAAACACTTTTTTTTTACATATAGTTTTAAAATTGGGGTTAACGCTAACGCTACTTAATAATATGTTTAAACCTAAAAGTATATCGTTATATAATTAATGAAAATAATAGCTGCAAAAATGTTACTGTATCATATATTTTTACCCAGAAAAAGGCATTTCATAAAATAAAAACAACAATACTTTACAATAGTGCTTCTAACTAATCATATCTTTTTACCTAAAAGACATTCGTCACATAAATTAAACAAAAAACAAAGAAGAGGAAATTTGAACAGAAAAATGTAAAAAATAAAATAAAATAAAATAAAATATGAATAATGGTAATAAACAGTAATAACAAAATAGAGATATGATAGATATAAATATTAATATTTTTTAGGGTAAATATATTTCGTACAATAACAATAAATTAAAAAATATATCATATATGAGGAAAAAATTACTCTAAAAAATATCTCTCTAGACACTTTGTCGTTATACATTAATCAACAAGTTAACTTCCTACGAGAAAATAAAATTATAAAATTAATTGAAGTGACATAACATTTATAAAATTTTATGTTAACTTATAATCCTATTAAGTTTGTGATTAGCCAATAAAGTTTTTCATTCATTTACAATCTACTTAGCACATCAAGATTATAGCAACGAAGTTTAATAAATAATAATCAAGGGCTAACACCCATAGAAACGTACACCAGAATATTATAATTTTAGTGTCTCTATTTTAAGAAAATATTTTCTATGTTGTAAAAGTTATTTTTTTTTGCTAGTGATCCTTCCATTTTTGTGTAATATTTCTTTTGCTTTTTTATTTTTTTTAATAGATGTGTGGCTCACTTAAGATGAGTCTATAACAGTGTTTAAAAATCCGGCCCGACTATTGACTCGGCCAAGGTTAATGGGTCACTTCGCTGACCTGATTTTATACATTAAAAGAATATAAATATATATTATATATGAAAAATTCAAAAAAATAAATCACCAATCATTATACATTCAAAATATACTTAACATAATCCAATCAATTACATCCACAAGTCAATATGCACAAATCAAAACATCAAATTATCAAAGTATAAAACACATATTTCAATGGAATTAATAAAAAGTTATATCATCAAACTCAGGTCCTTCTTGTCCTTCTCATGCACTTATAACAGTATGTGAAAGGAAATTTCTTACCCAATAGAGAATAGCGGAGGAGAGGCGATACGACAAATTAACTATGAAAAGATAAAAATCAGCATGGTGGAGGAGATCACCGGAATAGGGAGACTGTGTCTAGGTCTAGGAGAGAAGATCGGAAGAAAATAAGAAGAACAATTCAAATTTCAGATCTAGTTCTAAATCTAGCCAACAACGAATTTTTTTTTTTAACATATAAAACGACGTCATTTCGTGTATAATTTTTTTTTAAATGCAATGACCTCTTTGACCCCGGGAGTCACAGGTTCAATCGAGGGATTTCAGGAACCCGGGAGTCAAGTAGGATCTAATTACTAATCAGTACTCTCCCTCCGGACAAGTAGGATCTAATTACTAATCAGAACTCTCCCTCCTCAGAGAGAGGGATCAGTGACCTGAAGACTGAAGTGGTCTACTATGGTCTACTATTAGATGGGACGGAATTTTAAAATACTTATCTGTAACATAAAAAAAAATTCTCATTTGAGAAAATCAAAACCCTTTTATTTTATTAATGACACTACTCTAATTTCCTACGAGTTAAGTAATGATCTTACTTGTTGCAGCACCACTTGGGTGACAGTGACACCCCACCTCTGTAACGTTCTCGAGGGGTAAAAGTTAAAAAACCCCTTCCAGAGTCTAATATTGGAAATGGGTTAAATTCAGCTGCGCGCTGCGCGTGAAGTCACGCACGCTTTCTTCCTCAAGAAGCTGTGGAACCGCGTCTGAACACATTACTGAATAAATTACGTGTTAAGTAAAATTTGTCAAAGACGCTTTCTGAAAATGTCTTGAAAACATTGCTCAGACGCATTTTCGTGCAATCACCATAAAACAGTAAAAAAAAAAAACAGAAAAATCTAAATAACCAACCCTGTAATTAGTGAAAGGGTTTGATGTTTCTCTTAGAAATAATTTTATTTCCTTTGTAAAAAAAATAATATATGAATATCACACATTTATATATATATGTAAAAAATAATTTAATAACATGACACACAATAATAAATTGCAGTATATTCATAAATAAGTCTCCACACTCCACAATACATTGCAAAAGTTAACAAGGTGTTGAATTGTTCCGCGAAAGCGGTTTCGACACGTGTACAACAGTTTGCAGTTGCGGTTGTTGTTGCTGGCGCTGAGAAGAGCTTCTCCAGAAACCGGTTCCGCTGAACTGGGCCCACATCTGCTCCTCCAGCCCAACGGGCTCGGCCTTCTCCGCCTTCACCTCTTTAGCCAGTTGCTCCTCCAGAGTGGGCCCAATATTCCCGCTCTCGACGCTGCTGGGCCTCTGATCCAACAGCTTCTCGGTCTTCTTCTTCTGCAACCGTCGCTTTCTCTTGTGCATCGCTTTCTTCAACAACCCCGCCGGAACCTTATACGCCGCAAGCACCACCATGTCCATCACCGTGCACGGGATGCAACAGCACACGGCCGCGCACTCCGCCGTCGCATTACCGGCAACCTCGCCGACGCGGCGCCTCTCCCGTGGAGGGTGACGCCGGCTCACCTGCGCCGGTCGCAGCAGGACCTGCTGCTGCCGCTTCATTAAGCCGGAAAAGATGGAGACAACAGAGGGAAGAATCGGAGGGGGGGGGGCAGAAAAAACTAGAGCGGAGGTGGGAACGGAGGTTTCTGCGAGCGCCACCGATTCATTTCCGCGTCTACTCCATCGCTCGCAAAACAAGGGAAAAGGAATGAGAACGTGTGATTTGAAATCGAAACAGTTGGGAGAGCTTAAAAAAAGGGATAGGAACGAAAAACTATGTGATTGCAATTATAGAACATGTGTGCTGTTATTACTATTTATAAACCATAAATCATATATTTAGGGAGTGTTTGGTACACGGAATTTTTTCGGATTCTCGGTAAATTGAATTTTTTAAAATTTTAATTTTGGGATATAATCATATATAAGCTGAATGTAAAAATTATGTTTTTGAAAATCGAGATTTAACCCAGTGGGTGCAGCTCATTTAGTTCCTTGGCGCTGAGTTAGTGGGGTTGGACATGTGTTCGATTCCCGCTGAATGCATTCTTAGGGAGGGGGCTGAACCTTCAGCCATCACTGACCCCGCGCTCCGGATTAGTCTCATAGCCGGCTCAAAGAGTCGAAACTTGTGGGGATACCAGAGGGAGCCAACTCGACTTAAAGAGGTAATTAGGGTTGGGTAACTCCTAAAAAAAAAAAAAAAAAAATCGAGATTTCCGGACAAAAAAAAATTTCTCTTGTACCAAACGCTCCCTTAAACTATTTACGATGGAATTTTTAATTTTTGTTAGAGTATAATATCTATCATTAAATCATTAAAATTAGGTTATCATTTAACAACTTAAATTTTTAAATTGAATTAGTTCTTTATATGATATCGGAGTTTCGGTATTTCAGATTCAATTCTCGTCGCTCTTATTTTTTTTATGGAATTTTTTAGTACAAATAAGCTGAATCTGATGCATTATCTATTTTCCAAACCCAATAAATTTTCTTATAAAGAGACTTATTAGTATATAATATAAACAAATAAATAGACGTTTACCTAATAACTTATACTTTTTTGTTGAAGTTTTTCTTTACAATTTTATTCTCAAATGAAATGCGAGTAAATAAAAGTGATTTTGAGTTTGACCCTTCAGGTTCATGTAATAAATCTTGTCTTGTAATAAAAATCATACAAATTTTTTAATAACTAATATATTAATGTGAAAGTTTAATTTACGACTCATTTTAAATATGGAAAAAGTGTTTGTACTTTTAAATGATACAACTTATATCATTTCACTCTCATAAAGAGGTGAGACCCATACCTTTATATATTTTTTTCCACTATCTTTCTTCTTTTATCTATCTCTCTCAGTTAAAATGACACAACTTCAGACATTTTTCCCTTTAAATATATGAATAAGTTCGTGAAAAGACAAACAAAAATAGAGATCATGACATCCCATGGAATCTTTTACGCCATCTTTGAGCCGACTCACATATATAAGTCATTTTTTTAAAGAATAATAATATTATTGTAAATAATTTTTTGTCTGAATAAACTATTATCTCAATAAATTATTTGATAGAGTCATTATTTAATTGAAAAAAGCTCAATGAATATAAGGTTTGATAATGGCTCACTGAGATTGAATTCTAATGTCTCGTGAACTTAAAGGTATAATAATAATAAATAAAAAATTTGTTCGATTTGTTAGTGAGACGACTGGTTACACAGCGGTCCAGTGCTTGGTTTCTCTTTGGCTGTTTATGCTTCTGAAATCTGATGCCTGTCAATTTGCTTTTTGGTATCATTAATAAGTGCTTATCATCAAAGTGGTTTGCTGATTCATTTTTCTTTTGACGCCTGTGCTTTCCACTTTCCCGATTGAGAGCAGCTATTTATATGGGACCTGCTTTCACATAAAAGTCACATAATTCACGTTGAGAATTGTGGACCCTGGATAGCGTTTGAGAAAACTAAGATATGAGCCAAAAGTAAACGATGGTGATAAAAAAAAAAAGGGTTTTTCTATTCTCAAAAGAAAAAAATCTAAAGAACCCACCATTTTGTTAATATAGGAGAGAGACTTATTTTAGATAATTGGAGAAAATATTTTCTCTAAAAAAAAAAATGCCACATAACTCATACTGTATTATAGCCTAATTCTTTCGGGTAAATATCTCTTTAAAGTGCTGGTAGATAGTGTTAATGAATAATTAAAGTCTGATTAGCCAGATTGTATATAATGCGAGATAACAAAATCTATTATAGTACAGTTGATGAATAATTTTTCGTGGATAATAACATCACCTTATTTGTGAGATAACAAAATCAAAGTGAGCGTCTAGAAAATAAAGAAAAACAAAATAAGTAAATAATACAAAATTATATATGTCTTTAATGTTGGGTTTAGTGTCTCCCTTCACAAATAATAATATGTGCGTTCATGTGGGCTTATATAAAGAAAAGAGAATTTTTTTTATAAATTTCATACATTTTTATATGCATAGTAAGGGTGAAAATAGGTCAACCGTCTTAACATATGCAAATAAAACAGGTTAGCATAAAAAAAACTTATATAGAAAGTAACTTATAGGCGTTTTTTTACATGTCAGGCATATAAATTTACAGACCAATCTATATCATATTTAATTTAATAAAATAAATAATATAATATAGGTTGATTTGTAAATTTATAGACCGCCATGTAAAAAAAATCTATGGCATATTTGTTATAAATTTATTATTTTAAATAAAGTAAATAATTATTGGATATCTAATAAAATTAAACAGGTTAACAGGTCTATGTCAAGAATTTTAACAAGCTAAGAGATCAGATTAAATTTAAAGTATTTTATACAAATCTAATCTATTTAAATCAAAATTTAAGGTAACCTAATTTATTTAGGGCCCTACTTAGAAGATAAGATGAAAAAAGTTAAACCCTGGATGTGCATGGTTTGAATTATTCAATTTGATAAGCGAAGATAGACCGCAGCTGCTGGACAATGACCCATATAGCGTCCAAAGTCGACTTTTAACACTACTTCTAGAATGAGTTGGGAGTTGGGAGACGTTTTGAAAGGCGAATGGCCCCATTAATGCCTTTTTTTGAAAAATAATCCGAATAATGCAGATTTTAAGCAATGTAATTAGTCCCGCATGGGTGTGTGGGAGTTGATTATTGAGGTCACGTGTTGAACGGGGACATGTTTAGGGATTATATCTTAAACAAAATATATTAAATGTTACTAATGTTCACACTTCACAGTTAAATTATTCAAAATATGTTTAAAAAAAAAAAAAATTATTTAAAATATAACCTTTAGATTTCAGTATTGCCAAGTACGGCCCGCCTCATATGAGTTATGTAGCATCCCATTCAAGGAAATTTTTAATATAGTGCGGGGCTATCAAATTTGTTTGTGGTCCTTTTCCTTTTTTGTAAAAAAACTTAATCTTAAATCCTTCCCTTTTCTTATATTTCTCATTTAATCCCCTTTTGTTTTTTATTTTTGAGAAGGAGCATGCTGCTCTGGGATCGTAAGAGAAGCGCTCCCTAAAAAAATATTACTTTATTAATATATTTCAAAATTGCTTTATTCTTATACTTTTTTAAAAAAAATAGAATAGGATATTGTGACAACCAAATAAAGTTACAACCAATGTTACTACCAATCAATCTCACCGTTAGATTGGTAGTAACGATCCGACGGTCCTCATTGAATTCTTAAATAATCCCTCTGTCTTCGTTTCTCTCTCTCCCCCTTCTCTCTCTCTTCCCTTCTCTCTTTCTCACTCTACACTCTGTCGCCGCCTCCGCTACCCATAGCCTCTGTCGCGCCGCCCGCTACATCTCGCGGAGAGCTTCGCCGAATACACGAGCTAGGGTTCGATTTTTACCAGATTCAATTTTTTGAGCAGATCAATTATCGCGGTTCTAGTTCGATTAATTTTTAAATACAGATGGTGAACCTTTATCGCGGAACATCTCTTTTGCGGTCTTACCAGCGAAGAACAGTTTGGTTTCTCCAATTCTGTTAAAAGGGGTTTTGTAACTGAACCCGAAAAGCTTAATTGTGATAACTAATTAACTTAAATTCTATTTGCCAACTTTTAAATATTAATCGAACTTAAATTACTATGGACAGCGGCGATAACTGATATTTGATTTGTAAATTAATCGAACTATTGATCAATATTGATCTGCCCATAGCTATTGATTACCAGATTCGATTACTATGGGCAGCGGCGATAATTGATATTTGATCTGTAAATTAATCGAACTATTGATATTTGATTACTATGGCAGATCAATATGGGCATATCAATATTTTAAATACCAGATTCAATTTTTTGAGCAGATCAATAGCTATGGGCAGTGGCGCCGTCGTGACGGAGGCTATGGGCAGCGGCGGCGGCGGAGTGTATAGTGAGAGAGAGAGAGAGAAAATGGAAGAGAGAGAAGGGGGGAGAGAGAAACGAAGACAGATGAGCTATTTAAGAATTCAATGAGAACCGTCGGATCGCTACTACCAATCTAACGGTAAGATTGATTGATAGTAACATTGGTTGTAACTTTACGGTTGTCACAATATCCTATCCCTAAAAAAATACATTAATATGGTCAATCTCCTTGTTAGCGCCACAATTTATGTATAACTAATCATATGTGTAAGTATTGTAACAAAAGATTCAAGAGAAAACTTTTAAATCGGGATTTTAAAATTACCGTGTCGCTACTTTTTTTTTAAAAAAATAATGTCATTAAATTAATCTCTCGGGTACATATAAAACAGTTCTTAATTTCATGCCAGATCAATTAGCGAAATACTACAAGGGCGTGATGGAGATTGGGTTAAAAAGTCACTTGCTATATGTGAAAAAATAAAGTTAAAAAAAGGGTCAATGAGGTTCTCAAAGCATATCCAGAATGGACATTAAACAAAACATCATATAATTAACAAGTGGAGCATTAGTTACAGAAATCAGTTGTTTAGGTGGCATGGGAAATGTCTTCCAACAACAATTTTGTCTCCAGGATAGATGCCCGTAGATTTTGCATCTCTTCCTCTATCTTCTCAAACATGCCTAAATGAGACACTGAAGAAAGATGATTATTTTTGTTGTTGGCAGCAATGACCCTGGCTGTCTGTAACTCTTGGGTTCTTATAAAATCTGTTTGCAATTCTTCCCCTAGTATCTTTATTTCAGCCTCCTTTAGATCATATTCAAACACACATTGCTGGAGTTCAATGATCATATGCTCCATTTCAAACATACCATTATCCCTAAACTCCAAGAGCATCTCTTTCTCTTTCATCACACGTTGAAGTGCAAGCTCCTTCTCATCTGCGTTCTTTAAACCTTGCTGTATTTCCAGTTGAACACCTTGTATCTGGCTCTCTACATTTGCCACCTTCTTGTTTAAGTTCCCCAGTTCCTTTCTTATAAACCCAAGTTTTTCTTGAGAAATCTTCATCTCTCCCTGCAGCTTCGTTTTCTCTTCCTCTAACTTAAGTAACTCGGTGGCTTTACCACTAAGATGCCAATTTTTCAGGGAGGGATCCATATTCTGTGTGTTATCAATCGCGAAGAGAACCTTTTCACTTTCGCGCTTGCGATTCTCTTCCTCCAGTTTTGATTTGATGCATGCAATATTTGTAACTAATTCAACTTCAGATTCTTGGTTCTTCTTTTGAGCATTCTCCAACCCCTTTTTGGTAGCTTGAAGAGCAGCCAATTCCCCTTTCTTTCGGTCAATATAAGATGTCAAGTCGTTCACCCCTGCTCTTGCCCTTGCTTCCCGTTGCTCAAAGTAAGAAAACGTTGAGGAAAAGTTTGATAATGAATATTTGAGCGCAGAGAACTTATTATCCACTAGAGTTCTTCTTTTTTCTGCTTCGGAAAGCAGAGGTTTCAACGATTCAAACTGCTCACGCTTGACCTGAATATCATGTTCTGTCACTTCAATTTCTCTAGAGAGCTTATCAACCTGGACCATTGCTTTTTCAGCACAACCAAGTGAAGCTAAAGTTCTGACAGCATCTGAGATTCGTTCATCAACTCTTTCAAGCTTCTTTGTAGCACAATTTAATTCCTCTGATAAATTCTTCTCAGTGAAATTTGACACCTCGATGTCCATGTCAGTGAAATTTGATACCTCGATGTCCATGTCAGAATTGACCAGAAAATCAACCTCATTGTTCCCCTTTAAAAGCTTTTCTTCTTCTTGTCCATCATACACGAGGCATAAGCCAGACCCAGATATAGTAGGTCTCTCAACGTATTTACTTTCACCTCTACCCTCCTGCGCTTCCTGGGAAACAGATTCTACTGCCAAGTCCCTTTCCCCTCCATCAACTTCAACAAGCTTTTCCGGGCAGTCCATTTCTCCTTTGGTTTCAACTCTTTCGTGTCTAGAACATGAAAGAGTTCTTTTAAGATCATCCCTCTCCTGCATGGCTCTTTCATACAAACTCAACAGCTTTTCATTTTCTTCTTTTATTTCCATGAGCTGATGCTGGAGATTCTCAACCATCCTTTTCAACTCAGTCTCTTCTTCTCTTCTTGTTTCAAGAAGATGGCTACCAATGTCACCCTTGGAACCAATTTCTCGAGCATTTTCCCCTTTGTTAACATTTCTACTGTGATTTTCAGCAGTGGCTTGTTCATACAATTCAATTAGTTTACTGTTATCCTCAATCAAGGCTTTCACCTTCATCCTGAATTCATCGTTCTCATTTGTAAGCATAATTGCTGTCTCGTGAGCCTCTGCTTCTCTTTGAATAGCAGCAGCATTAGCAGCAGCAATAGCAGCAACCATTGCTTCCAATTCGGCTTGGTCATTGATGTTAATGTCAGGCGTATCAGTTGTTGATGGAAGGTCCATTTGCTCCCTTGCTTCTTTAGTGGCTTTGGGTTTCTCTTGTTCAAGTTGTGCTGCCAAATCATCAACACGCCTGCAAGATAACATTTAGTGGATAAATTTGAAGCAACATTTTATCATGAAAAAAGAAGAAGAGAGAAATACATATTTATGCAGAAAAAATACGCAGAAACAATATGACAAGAATCACTTTTAACCAAACAATTAAGTCCAAATTAAGATCACAAACATGGAACCACCGCATAATTATATATGTGAAAAATATAAGAGAGAGAGAAGAGAGAGCAAACAACACCTTTCCAATTTTTCTTTCTCCCCAAGGCAAACTTCTAGCTTCTTGCGAATTGTGTCCATTTCTGCCTGGTTTTGTATAGCCTGCCATAGATAAAATTATATTAAGTTGGAGAGACCAGCAAATCAAATGAAGTAAAAAACAGTACAAACAAGGTTGGTCTAGACCTGAATGCGGAGAAACTCATTTTCCTCCCTAAGAGAAGACTGCCAACGTGATTTTGGACTTAGCTCCTAAAGACAAATATTAACAAGAATTAAATAAGTCATATACAAAAAAAATTTAAATTGCACAAAAAATTACAAAGAACTATAAATATAAGATAATTAGAAAGAAAAACATGTTATCTTTTTATACATCAAATATCTAAATATTTACTAGGCTTTTTTATTCAGTTGCTGTCCATTTGACAATATTGACTCATGCTCCTAGAAGATCACAATTTGATAATGGTGGGGACTCAAATAGTCAAGCCTAAAAATGTAAGAATGAGGAAACTATGATCTATATTTTTCTAGTGGTCTGAAATACGTCTTCACCCTGATCATTTCTAATATAAATAAGTGTATAAAAAGAAGAAAATGAGGAAGAACATGAAGACAGGAAAAAAAAAAAGAATGTTAAGTCAAAACTGCATTCCGTACTCCACCAGTTGAGCACCAGTATCATTCTTTTAGATTTAAAGCATGCTTGACAGATTGTGAGAGACTACCATTTTCAAGAGATTCAAAATATATGCACCTGTATTTATGTTAGACTTAATTCAGGTGGATCCTATGACAATACCAAACTGGCAAACTATGCAGAATTCAAAAATTAAAAAGTAGAATATTAATGAAATCTATACAGCAGGTCATTCATAAAATTATGCTAGTCTGACGGCCTGATATATTGGCACAATCAAAATCTGATTCTAGCTTACATCTATGTTGAAGTAATGTATCACGCATTCACTGATTCAAACAATGAATATGAATACCGAAAACTCTATATTTTTCTTACCTGTTTGGAAATAAGATTGCCATCACTCTGTATGTCTTCTTCCATCATCGAGTCAGAATATGCTTTCTAACATTTGCAAATGACATGGAGGTCAACATAAAATTTTGCAACCCCTTTTAGACGCAAGAAAAATCATTACAGAAAAAACACTGAAAACCTGAACCATTACCTGATCTGGTTCGTGCATTAATTTCCAATCTAGTGCTTCTAACAACTGCACATACAAGTGAAAAAGAACACAATCAACATAGAGGGAGATTGACAGTACTTTTATAAAGTAAATACATATGAACCAATTCAAAAACATCCCTTCCTACCTTGTTCTGCAGCATCATGATCTGTTCATTCATCATTTCCCTTTCACCTTCCTCATAGAATGACTTCAACCTGTCTTGAAGATATATAAACATTAGCAACATGACATTATAGAATACACATATATATATATATATGTGTGTGTGTGTGTGTAGAGAGAGAGAAAGAGAGGAGGGATCTTTTGACTCCGTGTAAGACTAAGAAGTCTTATTCCTCATCTCAACTGTTAATTAATTGGTATAACTTAATAAACTCTAACCATTAGATAAACGAAAATCAATAGTTGTGATGGGGAGTAACACTTCTTAGTCTAGTCAAAAGATCTCTCCTTATATATATATATATATATAAATATATATACAGAAAAATATTTCTGCAGTTATTGCAGATAAGTTATCTGCATTTACTTCCAAAACGACGTCGTTTTGGGATTGAAATATTAAAAAATTATAATTATAAAGACTATAATAACCCTGAAATAAATTAAAATTACAAAAACACCATGATTTTTGCCCCAAAATGACGTCGTATTAAACTTACGGTAGATAACTTATCTGTAGTAACTGCAGAAAAAGCAAACCCATATATATATATATATATATATATATATATATCTCACAGAAAAGTCAATTGTAATCTAGCATTGTTTGTGAATATACTAGTTGTTTCTCTTGACAAGACCAGGAGGCTGTATTCTTGCCTCGTACATTTTGCATATCAGTGGATATATAATAAGCAATGCATAGAAACTGTTATACTGTTCGTACTTGAATATTCATTTTTGGCCATACAGTAACTAAGTCACTTTCCAATCTTTCTTTTAACCATGAGATCAAAGTCAGTTAAAAAAACGTGCCTTCTAATTTCTTCTTTCAGCTGCAAATTTTCCATAGCAAATCTGGTCACTTCTTGACTTCGATCCACCTGTGCCCGCAGGACCTCAATTTCTTTCAAATGCTCCTCTTTTTCGTTTAGCAAGTGTGTCTCAGCCGAGATCTTCCCAGAAGCAACAGCTTCTAACCTCTTTATTCCAGCTTCTCGAAAACGTAGTCTCATCTTCAGACCTTGTATCTCATCTTCCCTTTGTTTGGCCTGATTCATCCATATTGAAACCATTTAATTTCCATAGAGTTACACCACAAAAAATCCAAGAAATATGATTATGAATGTATCAACGAAAAAGAATCATTATAAACTTAAAAATACTGAAGAATTATACAGATATACCAAAATGGAGCTCCTTGACAGCCTTAAATCAACATAAACTGATATAAGTTTCTCATCCAAATTGCTACTTGGGTCAAAATCTTATGTATTGTCTTCTTTATTCAAACATTCAAATAAAACTGACATAACAAACCATTAAGTAACAAATATACTGCTTTTCATAGATACCAGCTTCATGGCCGCTTGATTTTCATCTCTCAATGCCTGCAACATCATTTCTTTGTCCTTTTCCCTCCTAAAGGCTCCAACAAGGGCAATTTCATAGTCTTTTTTCTGCAAAAAGAGAAAGATGCTTTTACCGGTAAACATAGTCATGGTCATGGGAAGGTGCATAATTTCCCAGACACAAAAAATATCTACCTGAGATGTCCTTTTGATTGAATTTAATGGACTGAATGATCCTTGAGCGCTCTCCCACTTGAAGGATCCTGGAGAGCCTGGAAAGCTAATTGCTGAAATGTCATTATCCTGATTTTCTCCACCACCAGCAAGGCCTCGTAAACGGGATACTTCTTTCTGAAACCCCCAAAAATAAAAAGTTGCATTACAAATAAGCTAATTTAGCAATATCAGTTCAAAAGCACATATTTTATGATGAATCTTGTAAATCCTGTAAATTAACTCGGCATGAAATACAAGGTTATTGTAGCTTTTCCACTTCACATTAAACTGTAGATGAATAGTGAAAGAAGACTCATGTTCACCATTATACTTTTTTCGATAAGCAATTTAATGAGTATATATAAAAGCATTAATTCATCAATCAATCTTTTTATAAATAGATGATGGCATAAAATCTAAGTTGATGGAGCTTTTCCATTTCCCTTCAAAGTGCAGATGAAAAGTGAGAGAAAACTCTTGCTGACCGTTATACTTTTCTGATAAGCAATTCAATAAGCATGAAGGCATTAATTGACTCATAAAATGACAAACCACTACTAGAATCAAATTACTTAACCGTTACCTTCCATAGCAAATGCAAAGAGAAAGGGTAACCAAACATTTTGTATGCAATGACAGAATTCGAGGCAAAAGTCAAGAGAAGATAAATCAAAATTAAAGTACCTTAAGTTGTTGAATTTGAATTCTCATGGCAATGACATCTCCAGATGCATCCTCATTTACAATGGCCTGGAGAAAAATAGATAATAATTTAAATAAGCTCTCATAGCTGTCTGAACAGAAAACCAACATATCAAAACTGTTTAATAAGCTCTCATAAGTATGATCCATATGTTAGACTTGCTCTATAAAGCTTATAATTTTCTTGAGTACAATCCATTGAGAATTTCCAATTTTTTCAGTGGATAACAACCTTGGAATAAAACAGTTTCTATTTTTTACTGAGTAATAATGAACTGCGAGCCACTCATAGTTGGCAGAAAAAGGAAGTACGTTAATAAATAAACAAGAAAAGTACAAAGACGTACATTGTTCTTGATAAATTTAGCACGTTGTGCAAACTTCAATGTGCTTAATGTCTCGAGCGAACAACTGCAAGTTACTAAATGTTACTCAAATATAAAAGCAGTTAACCGTATACAACAAATAAATTTGACATGGTTAATGACAAAGAAAAGAAACTACGGCAAAATTTGTCAAGCAACAGAGAGGTTAAAAATCAAGTTAATAAACAAAGAGACGTTGAAACTTGCTCATTGCACGTTCCCAAAAATTCTTTTGCGCAAAAGAAACCAAGTCCTTATTAAAAGATATTTGGAACATGCATAGAGAAAGGAGGTTCACTGACCAAGTGGAGGGGCTTATATTTGCGATTATGATCGTTTTTGAATTCCCTCCAAGAGAATCCTGAAAGGAAGAGACAGAATACTGATCAGGTTCAATTGATAATATGCAGCTCCTTTTTAAAAAAGAATTCAGCGAAAGTAACAAAAAATTGCCTAACATTCATCAAAAGGAAATATTTAATCTTCGTGTGAAACCCTTACTAGATGTTTCAAAATACTATTAGGGCAGAATATCACCGCAACGTTTATTCTATCCAAGATTCCAAGCAACAAACTAACAAATAAAATTGTGACTAATAAAAATTATACGTTGAAAATATCCTAAAGATATGTATTTCAGGTGCTTCTACCCTATAATGTTTCAAGTGCTGTTTCAAGTTCCACTTCGACAACCGATTTCTGGGTAGAAAGAGTAACTACCAAAGACATTGTACATTGGTGTCTTCATGTAATTATGTTAGTGTGAAGGCATTGAGCTTATGGCTCCATATAGCCGAATTCAGAACTCCTTTATTTATAATGTAATTTTATTGCAAAAGAAGCTCACTTTTGTAGAAACCAAAGTCTCTTAGAAATTGTTATTAGGTGAGATAATTATTTCATTACCAAAGTTATTGCTGCAAATAAAAATTAGAAATGGGAAATAACTTTTAAGCCTTCTAATCCAAACTATTAAGATAACTTTTGTAGTTGTAAATTTGTCCATATCCATAAAACATACAGTTCTTGCACGACAACTATTTCATTTTAAAACCCTGATATCTGTGGTCACCAATCTCCACAGACACTGGAATCTAATTGGGAATTGCCAGCAACATGAATCTAAAAAATTTCAGCACCAACCTGAAGTAAAAATGTGAGCTTTGAATCACGGTAAGGAACATGGAGCGACTTTCCGTTAGATATACTTACTAGATTCATTATCACAAGCCTGCAAGTATAATATTATGACCTACAAGGTTAACTTTTTGAGAATAACACCATAACTGAAAACAACTAGTAGGAACTATTGTATATTAGTATAATAGACAGTAATTAAATATTGCAATGAGGATAACCAACCCCAAGGTTGAAAGAGACTTGTTGATATTAGTAGCTTCCTTGAGGCGTTCCCCTTCAGCACCAGAACTCTTTTGCCTATTATCAAAATGGATACATAATATTAGCCATATGGGTACTAAAATGAGGTAAAACACTTTTGACTTCTTTGCTCATCTAAATCAGTAAAACAGGCATACACGCTCTTGGGAACCAATTACCTCTCAGATCCAGCCAAATCAACAAGATTAAGTCGAGCAAATCGGAAGTGAGTTACTCCTTGAAATTCCCACTAACAACAAGTAGTTAAATTAATTTGTATCAGTATAATATAAAAACATAATAAAAGGTTAAGAATGAAATGGGCGGGGGGAACACATCAATATTACTCACCTGGCTCTCAACGATGCAAGTAAATACACTATGAGAACGACTGCTAGCGCAATTCATATTAGTAGCAGCTACCTTTCGGTTGGCAGCACCCTAAAGAGCATCATTATTTTCAATCAGTGCCTATTAACTTATAAGTTGTGCTGAAAAAGGATGAGATTCATGCGTAAAATTCAACAAACTGTGCTGGAAAAAAAGTGCAAATGCAAATGCCAAATAAGTGATTAAGTTAGTAAACGGTTTCAATCACAAACTGAAAATTTCTAAAAAAAAATTAATCCAGCTACCTTGCAAGAAAAAATATTCAAGAGTAAAGATGAAGGCAAATACCTGAATAAGTTGCTGAATGACATCTCGAGCGTTAGTAACTTCTACTTCCTTGATATTTTCCACATAAACTCCTTTCTTATTGTCTTCTCTTATCTGCCACATAATTTTTGAAAAAAAAGTTAAATAGATGTATGATATAAAGTGCCTCCTCAAAAAGACAGAGAAATACCAGTTCATACATTATTTGCATATTATCTTCTTAGGTTTCGAAGATGAACTTCCAAAGACATGATTTGGGGAACAAGCGGAAAGAGAGAAGATATCCCTCAAAGAAGTGACGTGATTTTATATTCAATGAAAAGTTGGCCTTACCTGCAGATTGTTAGATGACGGGTCCAATAGATCAAGGATCTGTTCATTGTATATCTCCAAGAAAGAACATTTGCATGTAAATTTTATCTTTTCATCTCTGCGAGCTTCTTTGTCCTGGTGTATTAGAGCAATTACAGACTAAAATTAGATTCTTGTAAATATAAATATATGAATGGTTATCCTGACACAAAAATTTACATTAATTATTATTCTCCAAAATTATGCAGTCCTTAAACGGTCCAATTTATATATAAAAAAGTCAAAACTTGAAGTATTATAGAATTGGCAAGACAAACATTAATATTTTAAAATGTAACATTATTGGAATCCTGAGGTGGACCCTCTTATAGGAACACTGGTTCGATCAAGATTCAATTCAAGCGGTGACTTAATGATCATAGCTAACTTGCTTAGTTGCTTCAATAGAAAATATAAAATGCAATAGTCAATACACGATGTTAAAAAATGGAAGTAAGAAATTATGAGCGTCATTAGTGACTAGCTCATTAACACTATCCATCACTAAAAATAAAATCCTATAGGCAATCACATAATAGACAAAGATGCATAAAAGCTTAATCTAAAGTAAAGAGCTCCTTTAAATAATGACTGAATCAACTGTAATCCCATAACAATTTATACCTTTTGGATTCTAGAAAACAAGTGCTCAAATATTCTTGGGGTCATCCCACAGTTGACACTGTGCCTTCTAGTTCCCCCCTCAATATCACCAAGCATGGTGTGAGTCTTCCCGCTTCCAGTCTACAGGCAAACACAATTATTCGCAGCAATGCTAAATTGTTAGAAAATAAGAAAGGTAAAATAGTTTACACCAGATCACAAAAGTCTTACATTCTCATGTTTTTAACAAGAAGAACAAGTAGAAATGAAAGATAGAATATCTGATACAAAAACTTCCCCATCATTATCTATGCAGGCTTAGACTCTATAATATGAAACAATGCTTCCTCACATTAGACTATACTGATCTAATCAAACTAACTGCGACAGCAAGAACAGGAGAAAACCAATGACTCACTTGGCCATAAGCAAACATGCAGCTATTGTAGCCTCCCATGCAATTTTCTACCATTGGTAAACCAGCTACTTTGAAGAGCTTCTCCTGTCAAATAAGTTAAATGAAACCCAAGCTTCAAAATCAAAAAAGAAAGGAAAAAGGCAATAGAACCATGGCATAGACAATAAAACATGTACAAGAATTCCAACCAAAAAAATTATAGAATCCACAATATATATGAATGAAAGTATCTAACAAAAGTTTACCTGGCTAACGTTCTCATCTGCAACAAGGTCAAAAGTAAAGCGTGACTCAGGATGCCCAGTCCAAGTAATTGTCTGACAACTCTCTTGCCTAACACATTTGTTGTACCCTTGCAACGATATTTCGGAATTGCTAAGAGGGCGCATTCTAATTATAACCTAGCTCACAAAATTAAGCCAAATCAAACTTAATTAGCTTGAATCAAGTTATAATCTCACCCTTTTCCTAAACCATAAAAAATAAAGAACCATAAACCTATTAAAAAAAAAATTTAAAAAAATTAATAATTGTAATTTTACTGCCAAATAAAATGCAAACTATTATTTATCTGCTGGAGTCATGAATTTCGTGATTAACACTCATTAAAAAAATTTAAACACTCGTTACACTTTGTTTAAACAAAATTACTCCCAAAACAATATAAAACTTAAAATTAGATCTCGTGTAAGTATAGTGAACTCAGTATTGTACCTGCACATTGTGATCTTTCCAGAACGAAGGATCCTCGCAGATTTCAAAGCTCTGATTTGAGGAAACGGCGGTGCTACTAGGCCCAACTCCACCTTCATCGTCCCAACTGTTGATGTTTCGAACTGCAGAGCTTTGCACGAGATTATCTTTGGCGGCGGATTTCAGAAGATCTGGAGTGTTCTGAACAAGCGAAAGTGATTCGGAGGGATGGTCATGGAATCTAAACCTGCTCTTAATCGCACTAGCAGCCTCGGATAGGAACGGCATATTGCAGTGAACGATTTCGATGGAAAATTTTGCGGAAATGTAGAAGAATTTACGGTGTTAAGAGTTGTGGGAACGGGGAAAAGTAAGAAGAAGAGAGAGAAAGAAAAATTGACATGAAATGGAGAACAAGGAGTAAAGAAAACCGGGGAGAAGATGAAGAGAGAGAAGAAGATTCTGTGATCGGACGGTGGAGAATGGTTTCATTGAACGGTACAGATGAATTTAAATTCAAAGTTTGGGACCGTTTGAGATGGGAGTTTCAAATTTTCCAAGGATGGAGCCAAGAGCCTGCTTGCTTTACCTTTTATTTTTTTTATTTTGTTTTATGGATTTTTATTTCTAATTTTTTTAACAGAAACTATTTTTTATTATTATTACACTGATATATTTACAAATGATTAAACTATATATCTTTTCTATTTTAAAAAAAGATGATTTTTAAGAATAAAGATACATTACACTTTTATTTCTTTTAACGTAAATGAATTTTTTAATAATATTAAGTTTATAATGTATGAATTTTTTAATCACATATTTTAATATAAATAAATTGTATAATGGTATCAAATAAATATCAATGAGGTTTTCAATCGCAAGTTTACTATCTTGGTGATTTTTAATAATCATGGAACTGTAAGGATTTAGTATTATACTTACTAAAATTAAAAACATATTATATTATATACATACATACATATATATGTATGTACATTTATTTCACCCATTTTTTTATTTTAATGTCACTTCATTACATTATATTTAATTTTAATTTGAAAGTGTTTCAAAATTTATAATATATGAGCTTTATTCCAATTTAGTTGCCCGGATAAAACTCTATAAAACCAAGAAAAATTCAAACATATCGTTTACCAAAAAAAAAAAATTCAGACATATCAAACAAAGTAACAAACATGTATCAAATGATAATAATTCAGTTGGCGCATAAGAGCTGAGTAGGTGGAGTGAAAACATAGTTTGATACTCCTTAGTAATATTTTTGGGAAGAATTTAAAGTTTTAATTTTAAACTCGTTCCGAACAAAATTCTCTCGCTTAAAGATTACCTGTGATTTATAAAAAGAAAAAAGAAAAAAAAGTAACAAACATGTAGAGTTAAACATAGTGGTGATATAATCACAATTTTTTTTTTTTATAACAGATATAATCACATTTTAACTACGAAAAATTAGACAGTTTATGAAGTTTTTTTTTTTGATATAACAATTTATGAAGTCATATATTACACAATGTTATTGAATAACCATGATTATATTAGTTATTGGTTAAAGATAATCAAGCTATAATTACCGAATGATGCTGAACTTGTAAAAAAAAAAAAAACACTAAGTAGAAAAATTATAATTGATTAATAATAAATTCTTGTTTTCAAATTGAATATCAAAATACTAGAAAATTCAAACAAATATAGGAATCCAAAAACACATTTTTATATGATGTTAAATCAATCCTAAAATACAATTAAAAAGGTGCTTGAACCAGATTAAGTTGGATAATTGATAAATCGGTACAGAAATAAAATATATATTTAAAAAAACATAAAATTATGAAAATGACAGCAAAAAAAAATAAACCAAAATATTAGTGCAGCTTAGTTCTTAACTAAATTTATATGTATTATGAAACCTAAATCTATTATTGATCACAATGTGTTTATCGCACTACCTTGATTCATTGTACAATGCAATCTTACGAGAGTCACGACGCATACCAATATTAGAGACACACAAACAAATGCAAATACGAGGGACACACAACTGAATGCAAATACTATAGGATAATGCAGTGGAGACATATGAACCAATCAAAATTAAGTCAAATACAGTGGTGAAGAATCTAGAGATGATTTGACAAATTAGGCTAAGTTAAACTGATGAAAGGAGGACAAACATATATATGGAAAGAAAAAACAAACCATTAATATTATAATTGATTAGCTTTACAAATTATGCCAAGGCACTTTTATATATTGTCCTAATTCATGAGAGGTTGACGTGTTATTTTCATAAGATAGTTGATCTGGCTTAACAAGAACATTGAGATTGAACATGTTGGGTAAGAAAATGATTCATCTCTAAGTACAACCATAACAATGCCTAGATGCAAATCTGAAGAAGAAATAGCCATTTGGATCAAGGCGATTCAACACAAGGCTAAGAAGTTTAGGTAGATATATAAATAAGATAACTAATTTAATACAAATGCATTTTATGAGATAATATTAAGGGATCCTGTGCAGGTAGGGGGTAGGGGATTAATTTCATCAATGTGTATCTGGTCATTCGTTTGGTCATCATCAGTACCTACCAGGTATAACACTGTGACACATCCATTGCACTTATGGCTATAAACGTATAGCCTCTAAAGCACACAGATACGCAACTTTTCAAAAAATTTGAGTGTCGGACATGCTCTGATACGCTCGGATATGTGTCCGACACATAGTCAATATTTGAGGATACGCGATCAATTTTCGGACATATTTTGACACGTTTTTTCGACATGCAGTCAATTTTTTCCGACACACAGTCAACTCTCGGACACGTTCAGACACATTTTTTTTTTAATCTTAATTTTATTTTGTTAACTAAATATTAAAGAAATAATTTATAAATTAATTTTTTTTCTGTTATGAAATTTGACATGAAAAATTAACAAAGTACGAAAAATTATTTATATTTATATTTATGTTATGAAATTTAAATATTTGATTGGTTATATGACTTATTATGGACTCTTATATATATTAAATATAAATTATATTATATATATTAAATTTTTTATTTAATATCAAAACGTGTCCCAACGTGTCGAAATATGATATTTTTTAGAATTAACGTGTCGGCGTGTCGTGTCGTGTCTCGTGTCCGTGCATCATAGCGTATAGTTCATCCCAATTGTAGCATAAACTTTTTCCTGACAGGCTTGCATATCAATGAGTGTGAGTCTTTTAATGGGTAATACAGGTATAAGGTTTGTTGGTTTAGCTAAGGTCCGTTGGAATTAGAATGTAGTGGAAGATGGAGTAAAAGAAGGTTCAGGGATCTATGTCTTCAAAGGTTTTGGGCCAAAGAGTTAGTCTTCGCATAGTTTATCTAACCCAAAAGCCTCGTGGCGGTCACGAGGACGGTGTGTCAAAATGGAACGTTTTGTGTGGTTTAAGGGCATAAATAGAGATATTATGACAGAGAGTAGGGGATAATCTAGATAACCGGTAATCAAGGGCTTCATAGGTAAACTGGTAAGTGAAACATATATTGTCTATTGTACTTTAACAAGTGAGCCAGTATTATCATCAAAGTTAGACAGGCCAAATCAGTGATGCAAAGCATCGACAAAAGAATCATATCAGTAAGCAGCCTATTGTTGAACATTCATTGAAACTAGCGTGAAGCTGGTAAATCTAGGCGAAAGGATGCCATTATCAAATCAACCAGTGTTAGCGATATTGTTGTATTGGAAATAACAATTGACTCCAAAAATCCAATATGGGGGGGTCACCATCAGCAAATCAGGGAAAATCCAACTTTAGTGATCTTTTCCTTGGGCCATCATTTGTTATGCAAGGTCCAACTCCAAGAATTTCAGTGTTAGAGGTGTTTGAGAAATTGGGTGACCCCTATTGGGCCTCAAGGAGGAGAACTATATCTTGACGGTTCTACGAGTACTAATGATCTCAGAGAAAAAAGAAAATGTAGGAAGATGGGGCATATGAAATTTGCCTCGGTAGAGGTGTCTAGAGAGAAGCCAGGGGTTAACCCGGAGAGGAGCCCTCATTCTGAAGAGAAGGACTCCAGAGCTAGTGTGTGTTGTTACCAAAAGATGCTGAAATGAGGGTCGAGAAATTGGACATGGAGACAGTAGATAAGGAGTTCAATCTGGTTATTGGAGGTGTGAAGGAGTCAAACAAAGGCAATATGGGTGTGTCTTACTTGGATAAGGTGCTTGGCTTGAATGGTGATGGGAATGTTTCCGAAAATGAATAGGAGGATGTTGTTATGCCTGAAGAGATTGTGGAGAAGAAGTAGAGGATCCACTTTGTCCTACATACGTGTTCTCTAGAAAGCAACATCAGGAGAATTGTAAGAAGGGGAGTAACGAACTCATCATTAAATTGATGGGGAAGAAAATGGCTCCCAGATTTCTTATGGCTTGTTTGCTAAGACTCTGGAAGCTGTTGGGGTTTTTTGAGTCAATTGATTTTGATAATGGTCATATACTTATCCAATTTAAGGAAGAGTGAGATTATGTTTATGTCCTGCATGAAGGACCATGGGTCGTGGTAGACCGTTATGTCATAATGCAGCGATGGAGACCCTTCTTTGATACTTTCAATAAGGAGGTGAATAAGCTTGCAGTATGGTTACGTATTCCAGGTCTACCAACCGAATTCTACACGGCCTAACATCTGCGGCAAATTAGGAATATGCTAGGAAAGACGCTAAAGGTTAACAAAACCTCTTTGAGGATAATGAAGTGTGTTGAGGGGGAGATCACAAACAAAGCTAGGTTCGCCCACAATTGTGTGGGGGTGGATTTGAGGAAAAGCTTTGTATCGCGATGCAAACTTCGGAATTTCTTTCAGAAGGAGTTTGTATACCTTAATGTAGGGTATGTAGGGCTCCATCTCATCTGTTTTGCTTGTAGTCGTTATGGTCACCATAAGGATGCTTGCAATGGGGGTCTTAATTACTATAAGGAGGCTCCATGCAAGGAAATTAGTATCATGGTGGCTCAGGGAAAGAGGCTGGAGGAATACTTGCAGAACATTAAGGGTTCAGTGAAGGAAACTTTCTTAGAGAAGGAGAAGGACATGAATATTACTCAGGTTTTTGGAGCTTGGATGGTAGTGAAGAGAAAGACAAAGAATAGGAGAACATTCTCAGGGTCGGGTTACATGAAAAAGACAATAGCAAAGGGTGCTCTGGCAACGGGGAAAGCCCAGGGAGGTGGGGGAAATCCCAAAGGTAGTATAGAGGATGGTGTCATGGCTTAGAGTGAGGACAAGGGGTCAGGTTTGCAGGATCATAGGTCCCAGGGATCACGGGTGCATAGAGATCATAACAAGAGGAACGTTCAGAAGTTGACTTTGAAAAGGAAATCGGGTGTCAATCAGAAAAGAGGAAATTCCTCGGTATATGTCTATCTAGGCGTAGGCAAGCGAGGGCTTGTTAAGGCAAGAGCGGAACCTATGGATAGAAGTGCCATGAAAAGTAATACCCAGATCGATGATAAGATGACTGAAAAGGGAAAAACTGCTATGTGTAGCATGCAAAGGGTGATTGCTGGCAGAAAAGGCATCACGAATACCTCTAAAAATATTGAGAAAGAAAGCAGCATGGAAGGAACTTCTCATCATGAGAATAATCATATGGATGCTGCGAAATTTATGCGCAGGTTTGCGCAATTCAATACAGAAGTGGCCCGCTTGGCCGACGAAGTCGTTCTGAATGGGCCTATCTGGCTACAACATTAGGACCATGTGTCCTAGTCCCCTTTATTATTTTTGTCTATTTCCCATGAATATTTGCTCTTGGAACTGTAGGGGCGCTAATAAGAGAGGCTTTACCTTATTTATTAAGTATATGTGCAAGAAGTATAAGATTAAAATCTTGATACTCACAGAGGTGCGTATTAGTGGAGTTCAGGCAGATAGGAAAATTAAAAATATAGGTTTTGATGGTTATCTCAAACAGGATGTTGTGGGTTTTTCTGGGGGAATTTGGGTGTTGTGGGATAATATAGAGGTAGACATTTCTGTTCTAGCAGTCCACTGCCAATTTGTTCATGTGAATATTTCTTAATTATCGAAGAAGGTTGAGAAGGTAGCGATTTTTGTTTATGGTAGCCCTAGAAGAATTGCTAGGAGGCTTCTGTGGGAGGAGCTATTTAACTTGAGCCTTGGTGTTAACAAACCTTGGCTGGTAATGGGGGATTTTAATGCTATTTGTAACCCTTTTGAGAAGAAAGGTGGTAATGCAGCTTGTCTAGGAAGCATGAGAGAATTTAACGAATGTTTGTCCAAGTGCAATATTTCGGACATTGATTTCAAGGGTCCCTCCTTCACTTGGAAAAGAGGCCAACTTTTAGAGCGGTTAGATAAAGTGGCAATCAATGCTGAGTGGATGGAAAATGTTCAGGAGAGGTATGCTTTCCATCTTTCATTTTTTAGTTCAGATCATAGACCAATTCTTCTATGGGAAAGTTCCCACCGTGGAAAAAGAAACCAGAATCGACCATTTCGCTTACTTGCGGCTTGGTTAACTTGTGATGGATCAACGATTTGGTAAACAACTGCTAGAGTAGGGATGTGTCATGGAAAGTAGCTAGTCATCATTTTCAAGAGGAAGCTGAGGTTTGGCACAAGCAAGTCTTTAGAGAGAACATTCGTCGAAAATTTCGTCTTCATGCTCGCATTGTGGGCATTGACGAGGAGCTGCGAAATTATCCAAGTGAATCTCTAGAGATACTTCAACGCAATCTTTGGGAAGAGTTGAATAAGATATACAGTCAAGAGGAGTTGTTCTGGTTCCAGCGTTCCAGGAGTCAGTGGCTGGTGGGGGGTGATCGCAATACTAAGTTCTACCATGCTTCTACAGTTGGCCGACAGAGGCATAACATAATTCTCACGCTCAAAGATAAGAGTGACAACTAGGTAGAGGATCCTATTACGCTTAAAGACATGGTGAATGGTTTCTTTAGAAAGTTGTATACAGACGATGGGTTGCCTTTCCAACCCTTCCCGCTCCCAGGCAGATTTCCCAGGGTTCACAATGTCTCCTTTTCCACTATGCATCATTCTCCTAGCAGTGAAGAGATTAGGGATGTTATTTTTATCATGGATGAGTTCAAATTGCCTTGCCCAGACGGGCTGAATGCCTTATTGTTCCACTCTCAGTGGACCTCTGTGGGAAGCTTAGTTGTCAGACTAATTAAGGAGGTCTTCAATGATCCTTTAAAATTAAGGGACATTAATAAATCCTTAATCTGTCTTATTCCAAAGGAAGAGAATCATGATTCTATCACGAAGCTTCGTCCCATTAGTTTATGTAATGTAATTTATAAAGCCATTACGAAGATTGTTGCCAACTGTAATGTCTGTCCGCTTCAAGAATCAATGACTATCCCCACAAACTAACACGAGACTTTTCGGCATACTTTATCACCACTCACACACTTCCTGGAAAAACTTTCCATGAGGTCACCCATCCCATAATTACTCCAAGTTAAGCACGCTTAACTATGAAGTTCTTCCATTCTAGGCTACCAAAAAGTAGATGCATCTTATTAGTCTAGGTAATACCAATTAATTCTTATAAGCTATCCCTAACTGTAGAGTCCTATACATGTACAATCTTTGAAATCCTTCTCTTTTGGGTGTGTATTCGATTCATTCATGTACCCTCCACCGGAAGCCTGCTAGGAGCTGCTTCTTGCCCGTGCCTCTTTGTACCGGCGATCACTCCCCACCCTCGTCAGCCACCAAGAAGTTACACCAATATACTTAAGCCCCATTTAGGTTATCTTATTATGCCTAACCAATGTAGCTTCATTAAGGGGAGACATAGCAGTGATAATATCATCATTGCTCAAGAAATAATGCATTCAATGAAACTTAAAAAAGGTAGAGTTGGGTGGATGGTCAAAAAAGTGGATTTAGAGAAGGTCCATCATAGAGTCAATTGGAGGTTTCTTTGTTCAACTTTGGAGGACATTGGTCTTCATTAGCAGACCGTGGAATTAATTTTAAAAAGTTGATAATTTAGATAATGTACGATTCTCACTTAAGTTGATTAGCATAGGTAAATAAGCATGTAATTGATGTTTGAGTTTTTAATTTAAAATTTGAAATATAAAAATAAATCAATATATTATTTAAATATATGATATATTTTATTGCTTAAGTTAAATTAAATCTGTTATAATTTTTAAAGGCCGTGTCATACTAATCACTTATGTTGTACCAATACTGACACAGAATACGAAATATGACACGATACGACCTCTAACACGTTAATTTTAAAAAATAGATTTCGACGTATTAAGACAAGTTTTAATATTAAATAATATTTTTAATTTATATAATATATATTATATTTAATATTCAATAATTTGTAAAAAATAAAATTAAACTGATGATACTCATCAATTTTACAAAAAAATCTAAGATATAAATATATATTATTATAGTTTCAAATTAAAAATATCTTATATACATCATTGAAATTTATTCTGTATTTACTTTTAATTTTTATTATATTAATTTAATAAAATAACAATCAATATATATTTTTTGATATATAATGAAATTTTAAATATTATAAATCTCGAAATACAGGAGTATCAAGAAATGTGCGAGAACTTCGGTGGTTTCAACTTTCAAGTTCTCCTTTTATAGGAGTCAGGAGATGTTCAATTTTGCAAGTAATAAGAGAGAAGAATGATGGGACTCACCTTATAAAAAAAAATGGTGCTAAAATCGAAAGGAGAGCAATTTGGCAGCAAGAAGAAGTACGAGCAATTTGGCAGCAAAAAAGAAGAAGTATTTTTTTGCCTTTCTTTAAATTTCGATGCGCTCATCACGTAAAGCTTGGCTTTTATTACAAGTTACAACTTTTTTAGTTCTGTAACACGAGAAGCAACGGAGAAGCTAGAAAAAAAAGGTTTTTTTTCTTTTTTTGAAGTGATTCCATTTCCTTCATGGACGAAGTGATCACAGTAGCAGATGTCACGTCAAGCATGCACACAACAACAACAACAACAACAACGACAGCACCTTCTTTGCTTCCTTCTAACCTTCCTCTCTTCTCCGCTTTCCTCTCTTTCGCTCTCGCTCAGTTTCTCAAGATCTTCACCACCTGGTGCGTCTTACTCGCCCACTTTTTCAACTTGTTACATTTCTCTTTATCTTTGATCGCTTAATTTCTTCGTTTACCGCTCAATTTGAACTTTGAATTCTGCGTGATTCATCTTCTCGTTACGTGAATTGGAGCTCAGTTACTTATTGTAGAATCATTGATTTTCTCGTCGATTAGATCAGAGCGTTGTAATAAGGAGCGTGTTTGACATTTTTAGTATCCAGCTTGTTACATGCTTTTTTGGGTGCTTGTATTGGAAGTACTTAGGTTTTTTATCATCAATGTATACTTTAATTTGGTAAAAAATTTAGTGAGATTCGGGTTTTAGGGTTTGAAATTTAAGGTCCAGCTTTTTGGGAACGAATCTCTGGGCCAATCCCCATCAGTGTATGCTGACTAGACGTGCTTCAATTTTTTTAGAATTTCCTTTCTGGCTTATTGGCATTGAACAAACTTTTGTACATTAAAAAGAATTAATAATAATTAAGAAAAGAGACACTAGTAATAATTCTTTTACTATTTTCTGAGGGAGATTGTGGATGTGTCGTATGCTGTTGTTTTGAAGAATCAAGTTTTTGTTTTACCATTTATTGATTTGGACTTTTGGTGGAAAAACAATGATAGATGTGGTGATTTAAGCTGTTAGTTGTTTATAACATGAAATGAACTCTAAAAATCTTATTTGGTTCATGTTGTATGCATATGTTTTACTGACATTTCATCATCAGGGCAATGATTTTTTTTTTGAGGGTGGGGGTTTAAATACCTAATATGCATTTTTGTCTCTAAAACTGAACAATTTGGTAGTACAGACCCATATGCGACTGGAAATACGTGCTTAATTTTTTCCAAAACCTTCCTCCTAGATACTCAGGTATAAGGAAAAGAGATGGGACTCTAAAAGGATGCTTGATTCTGGTGGAATGCCTTCATCACATTCTGCAACAGTGTCAGCTCTGGCTGTGGCCATAGGTTTCCAAGAAGGGATGGGATCACCCGCTTTTGCTGTTGCAGTTGTCTTGGCATGTATTGTATGTATTTCATTTGTGATAAAATATTAGTGCTCTGTTCCTTGATTAGCCTTGACTTGCAATTTCTTTCACTTTCACCCATGTTGTATTCATGCTTTTTATTTTTCGATTTTTGGTTTTGATATTTCTGGAATATATTCTTATTGTTCTTCGCTTTCTTACATGTTTGGTCTGAGTAAGTTTTATTTACTAATTAACTTGGACCTTATATGTTAAGAAGCCATAATATATTCCGGTATTAGGATCAAGATTAACAATGGCCTATGTTAGATATAATATAATTATGTCAAAGATATAATAAAACATGTAACTTAACCCAACAATTTAAGCTTTTGAGAAATTTAGTTTATGATATGGTATAAGAGCCTCCATGATCAAATGATCTAGATTTTGATCCTAGCTGCCTCAATTCTTGTGACAAAGAAAAAGTTGAATTTTAGCACGAGGTAGGCGTGCTGTGCATTGTCCAAGCTACAAGCCCAATACAAAAAAATGGCTCTTGCATGAGAGGGTATGTTAGATATAATATAAATGTGTTAAAGATATAATGAAAGCTTTTGTGTGCCTTCACCCAACATCTTAAACTTTTGAGAAAGTAGATTCATTACAGCCTACATAATTTGGAATTAGGAAGAGAATGTTACAGAAATATAAAAATCATTAAAAAGATCTTCACTTAATAACTTAAGCTTTTTTTTTTTTTGATAACATTAAGGGGCGAAGCCCCAAACAAAAACAAACAAACAACCAGAAACAAAAAATAACTATCCAGGGTCTATATCCCTACAAGAGGAGATTCCCTAAAGATCGTGATCAAATAACTGAGCAAGGTGAAACGACATAATTCTATGACTCCAGAATCCAGTATCTTTGTGAAGAGCAGACTTGGCTAACCAATCTGCACAGGAATTAGCTTCTCTTGGAATATGAGAAAGCGTTACCTCCCAATCCTGACCGATGAGTGCTTGTATCTTAGCCACTATACGAGGCTGACAAGCTGCATTGCAATCAGCAAGCAAAGAGAATACTTCAGAAGCATCTCCTTCTAGTTCCACCTTCTTAAATCCCAGTTGCCAAACCAATTCCAGACCTTTTAGAGTTCCCCAAAGCTCCGCCATTAAAGGAGTGCAAGCACCAATATGGTACTCAAAGCCTCCCAACCAAGAGCCATCATCAGATCTGATAATCCCACCACAAGCAGCCACCTCAGTATTCCTTTCAACTGCCCCATCAATATTAATCTTCACCCAATTTAGCCTTGGAGGTTTCCATAAACTCATACGAGTTGGATGAATGCTAGTAGTAGCCATAGCCTTCCTACCCATGCAGTTACGAACTTCCTCTATATACATAGCAATTATGTGTGTTCCATGGGTTGATGCTTGAAGTTAGTATCATGGACACTTTTGTTCCTCCATCCCCAAATGAACCAGCAAGAGATAAAAAAGACATCACGCCAATCATCTGAATTACTTTGATTCCAAGCTTTTGAGATATTATTTTCAACCCAATCTCTAAGATCCAAGCTGTAGAATAAGCTTTGCCGATTAGCTGAAACCAGAGAATTCCAAACACTTCTAGCATGCTTACAATCTCTTAGAACATGGAGATTTGTTTCCAACTCACCAGGACACATTTTACAATGACCAGATTCCCCACTCCATCTAGATGTGAGGTCTTTAGTAAGAAGGCAGCCATGCATTATGATCCACATACAAGATTTAACACATTGAGGCCCATGCCATTTCCATATGGTAGTCCAAGAA